GAGGATTAAAATCTTATCATACAGCAAGGTATATTCAATCAGTACTTGAATCCATGAAAATCTCAGAAAATTAAGTAAAACAGATGAGCTCAATGACCATTTTTGATTTCTGCATGATTCCAACACTAATTCAGTACTGAGCAAGTGTAACAAGGTGATTGATACCTGTGTCAACTCTCTGAAAAGACCTCAGAACCTTAGAACTAAAATCCAATACTCAGTCCAGCCCATGCAGCAGTGAAAAACAGTAGCAGCAACATCTTCTCTACTATAACTATTACATAGCTCGAATTAGTGAGTTTTTCTAGCTTAAATCATCTTCAAAAACTTCAGAGAAAGTATTTCTATCAAGGCTCTTGAGTTAGTTCAGGCTGCAGCTCAATGTCACTCTTTACACATTAGGTATGAACCCTAAAAAGGCTATAACAACATATATATATGAACAAACAAAGTGCACAGATCTTCATACACCCACAGAATACACCTGTCACCTTAAGCCAATCATTAAAAAGGCATAATGCAGATATTTTCAAGAGCAAGCACCAATAGCAGAAGGCCACCTCGGCAAATTGTCTCTATGCAAACTGAAATTGACACATACACAACACATTGCAGCATATACTCCATTCAGCTCTAGACTTAGCCACCAAGAAATGCAATATTCTTGCATATTCACTCAATTTAGGACCACTGAAACGTGTCACACTACTGAGCATAATAAGAAATGACCAGAATACCCTTGTAACAGATATTTAACTTCTTGGCTAAGAAAAATCATGAAACTGTATTAGTAACAATGGTGATTCACTCAAGTCAATCTAGTGCAATGCAGCATCCAAAACATACGTGTACGTGTTGAATACAACTGAGAAATGATAATGCTACCCCTGGAACCATTTGTGACAGATTACATGAACTGAATCCACACAATTCTCAGCAAATTAAGCAAGAACAGATAGATGAGCTGTGATGAAACCATTAAAACAGCAATGAGTGATAAGACACTGAATAGAACATGACCATACTATCTTTGAGGCTTATTTCAAGCAACTTTGACAATGAAGAAACCCTTTGAAGCCACTGCCACTCAGCTTTTTGACATTAAAGAGGCAAACAATGCTTAAGGAACTTAAGACCAACAATCTCCCCCATTGCCTTTAATGACAAAAACTTCAATCATGAAATAAGACCTCAATAAAGAAGACTCAACCAAAATAATAATAAGCATATTAATCAATAGCAGCAAGTAAATGAAGGGATAGCTGAGAAACTACCCGTATTTCAGTCCATTTTCCCCATTTTTGACATTGAAGGACAAAAGGTGAAAAGGACCAACAATAAGAGGCTTAGAAAGGGGGTGAAATAACCCTGAGAAGAGCTCTGAGGGTTGAAAAACGTTGAGGAAGAAGAGGTTTGGTCATGATATCTGCTAGTTGATTTTCAGTTGGTAAGTAAGTAATGTCAATGAAGCCTTTCTGAACTTTGTCTCGAAGAAAGTGATACTTGATGTCAATATGTTTGCTCTTCCAATGAAGTGTGGGATTCTTGCTTATGGAAATGGCACTTTGATTATCACAATAGAGTTTAGGAGGACTTGAGAAATGAAGACCAAGATTAGCAAGAGTAATGTGCATCCAGAGAAGTTGAGAACCAGCTATGTATTCAGCTTCTGAGGTCATTAGAGAGACAATATCCTACTTCTTACTTAACCAAGAAACTAAGTTGGAACCAAAGGAGATAGTAGTAGCCTGATGTACTTTTTCTGTCAGGTAAATATCCACCCCAATCAGCATCTGAGAAGGCTGTGATAGGCAATGTGGATGAGAAGATATAATGTAGACCATAAGAAAGAGAACCCTTAACATATCTCATAATCCTTTTAGCAGCTTGAAGATGAGAGAGTCTAGGATTGCTTTGAAATCTTGCTACCAACCCCACAGAATACATGATATCAGGTCTTGAAGCTGTGAGATACAAAAGACTGCCAATGATAGACCTATAAAGAGTAGAGGGAACTGATTCTGTGGTACATTCAAGAGACAACTTGGATTTAGGACATAAGGGAGTTGATACAGGTTTGCACTCAGTTATATTGAATTTTGTAAGCAGCTCAGAGGCATATTTCTGTTGAGAGATGAAGATTCCTTTGGAGGTTTGATGAATTTGAAGACCTAAGAAGTATCTAAAAGTGCCCAAAAAAGACATTTCAAATCTAGTTTTCATCAAATTGGCAAACTCTGATGCTAAAGATGTATTGGAGCCACAAAACATAATGCCATCAACATAGACTTGAAGAATAAGAAATTGATTCTTATGAAGCTTGACATAAAGAATATTATCCACTTTTCCTTTATGAAAACCTTGTTCAATTAAGAACTGATGCAGTTTTTCATACCAAGCCCTAGGAGCCTGTTTGAGACCAGACAAGGCCTTGTTTAGCTTGAAAACATAGGAGGGAGACTTGGGATCTTCAAAACCTTCAGGTTATTCTAGGTATACTTCTTCATTTAACTCACCATTCAAAAAGGCAGACTTAACATCCATTTGATACACTTTGACTTGCTTGTGACAAGCAAAGGACAAGAGCATTCTAATGGATTCCATCCTAGTAACTGGGGCAAAGGTTTCATCATAGTCAATACCAGCTTGTTGAGAGTATCCTTTACACACCAAACTAGCCTTGTTTCTGATAACTGTCCCTTTTTCATCAAGTTTGTTTCTATAAATCCATTTGGAACCAATAACATTCTTAGCTGCAGGTCTAAGAACCAGTGTCCAATTGTCATTCCTATGAATTTGATCAAGTTCTTCTTTTATAGAAACCATCCAATCTTCACTTTTCTGAGCTTCAGAGTAAGACTTTAGTTCAGTAGAGGATAACATTGCAAAATGACTGTATTCTTCTCCATCATCAGTTTCTAATTCAGTGAGTTTCTTCTTGTTTCTTGTTTGAACACCAGCCTGAGGAGAACTAATAATGTTTTCATCTTGAACCTGTCTTTGTAATCCTAGATAAGTAACTTCTTTATGATCATCAAGTTCTAAAGTAGATTTAACAGATTTATCTAACCTTTGAACAGAATGAGATAGACTGGCTTCAGTTGATCCTGGTGTAGAATTGATGTCATCATTGATGCTGAATTGTGGTGTTTCATCAAATTTAACATAAATTAATTCAATAACCTTGGAGGATCTTAGATTGTAGCATCTGTAAGCCTTGCTTTTTGTAGAGTACCCCAAGAATATCCCTTCATCAGCTTTGGAATCAAATTTTCCTAAGTTCTCTATGTGATTAAGAATGAAACACTTGCTGCCAAACACTTTTAAATAATGAACTGTTACAGGTCTTCCATACCATAGTGCAAAAGGAGTTTTACATGAATTTGGTCTAAGAAGCACCCTATTGATGATATACACACCTATATTAACAGTTCAGCCCAAAATCCCTTTACAAGACCTTTTTCAAGTAACATAGTTCTTCCCATTTCCTGAACAGTTCTATTCTTCCTTTCCACAACCCCATTTTGTTGAGGAGTAGCTACAGTTGAGAATTCTTTCTTGATACCTTTTACATCACAGTAACTTTCAAATTCCCTCATTGTAAATTCAGAACCAAAGTCAGATCTAAGCTTCTTCACAGTACAGCTTCTTTCATTTTCAACAAGATTTACAAACTTAATGAAGTGTGTTATAGCTTCAGACTTTTCTCTCAAAAAGTAAACCCACACCATTCTACTGAAATCATCAATGGGCAGCATAAAGTACTTACTTCCACCAATGCTTGTAGTTCTGGTAGGACCACAGAGATCCATATGTATCAGATTAAGAGCTCTGGATGTGTTGATTTCTTTGGAAGGGAATGACACTTTAGTTTGTTTGCCTTGCTGACATGCTTTGCATAGATGATTGTCACTGAATTTTAAATCAGGTAGACCTTTCACAACTTTCAATTTCAGGATTTTGATTAGATTTTTGGAGTGAAGATGACCTAGTCTCTTATGTCACAGTATAGCTTCATCTAGAGAGGTCAAATTGCAGTAAGTAGCTTCTTCTGAGATTGTGTGTACATTTCCAGAGGATCTGCAAGCTGAGAATAGGACTTTTTCAGATTCAATATCAACCACATTGCATCTTTCTTTATCAAAACAGATTTTCTTCCTATTGTCATATAGTTGGCTTACACTTAGGAGATTATGTTTGAGGCCTTCAACAAGTAATACCTCTTTTATCTCAGGTAGTTCATCAGACTTACTCACAGTGCCAATACTAATAATCTTGGCCTTTTGATTGTCTCCAAAGATGACATTTCCTCCATCAAAGTTCTTTAGTGATGCAAACTTGGAACCATCACCTGTCATGTGTCTCGAGCAGCCACTGTCAACATACCATTTGTCATTTGTGTTACCAGCTTTGAAGGCAGTATACACCAACATACTCACAGCATTCATTCTCTTTGGTATCCACATCATCTTAGACTTCACAAGAGATCTGTTATCCTTAACTTTCTGAACTGGAATTATCTCTGACTTCTTTACATACATTTTGGTAACTTTGTAATTCCTGAAGGTTGATGTAATAAAATCACTTTCATTTAACCTTGACTTGCTGCAGAAGTTGTCAAATAAATCATGCTTTATTCTTGAGGGTTTTATGATTAGGAACCTTGCATACACTTCTCCTGAAGATACCTAAACAAACATAGTGTGATTTTGTTTCACTTTGGTTGCAGTATCACAAATGTAACCAATTCCAGTCTTCCCAATTTGTTATGTGGATTGCTTCCAAATCTCAGCCATTTTCAAAGACTTTTCTTTAAGAATTAGTAAGAGTTCTTCTCTGCATCTCTTGGTTGACCATTCAGTGTTGGATTGAGACTTCTTTAGACTTAAGAAGATAAGAGAAATAGAACATAAGGTAGACAACTTAAGTTTGAAATGTTTAACAAGAAGTTGTTTGGATTTTTGCAACTCAGAGCTAAGGACTTTCAGCTGAGACTTTTGTTAATTGCACTTCACAGCAAGTCTCTCACATTCTTCAAGAATTTCTTCAATCTTTGAGTCACTGTCTTCATTGTCTTCTTCAACTTCAGCTACTTTCTGTGGTGTTTCAAGAGTAGCCATAAACAAACACTCATCTTCTTTTGATTCCTCAGGTTTGTCTTCTTCAGAAACAGAATCCCAATCTGTGAAGAAGGCCTTTCTTCCAAATCTTCCCTTAAAGTTTCCCCCTTCTTTCTTCCTCTGATTTTGTCCTTTTGAAGTTAGACAACTTGAGACATAATAGCTAGGCTTGCCACATCCATAACAAGTTAGATTTTGAGATTGACTTCTCTTCTTAAATCTGAATTTCTTGAACTTCTTTGATAGATAGGCAACTTCATCCTCTTTAAGATCATCTTCCTCAGACTTTGGATCAGATTCTTCAGTAACTTCTTTGACTTTAAGTGTAGCTTCTTTTCTTTGAAGAGTAGGAGTTCCAATTCTCATCTCATAGGCTGTAAGAGAGGCTTGTAGATCATCAATCTTCATTTGAGATAAGTCTTTATCCTCAAGGATTCTAACCTTTGCATTGAATCTAGGTGTAAGAGACCTGAGAATTTTCTTGCAAACATCTGAGACCTTAATGTCTTTACTAAGGGATTTCATATTGTTGACAATATCATTGATCCTAAACAAATACTCAGCTACAGTTTCCCTTTCCTCTATCTTACAAGCTTCATATTGATTATAGAGCTGAATCTTGTTTTCTTTAATGACAGTACTTCATTCATGGGCAACCTGAAGAGAGTCCCACATTTCTTTAGCAGACTTGCAATTCTTGACTCTAGTGAACTCTTGTTACTCTAAAGCACAGTAAAGGACATGTTTGGCTTTACCATCATTAGCCACAGCAATTTTATCAGCTTTAGAAGGATTTTCAGGATTAAGAACCACAATTCCATTCATTGCAGAATGCCAGACATCATAAGAGTGAGACATTAAAAATGCTTCCATTCTGATTTTCCATGAATCATAGTTCACACCACTGAACCCTGGAGCTTTGTTTGTAGCTTGGCCTTCATCCATTTCAAAAATCAACTACAAGCTTGCTAGAACCCTACATAGCAGACCAAAGCTCTGATACCAATTGTTGGACCAAGAGGGGGGGTGAATTGGTCAAAACCTTCTTCCTTTAACAGCAAAATAACAATCAAGACAGTATGCAATAAACACTGCAACACAATTTACAAGAAAACCCTCTTAATCAGGGAAAACCTTGGTTCTTGGCCAATGCCAATTCAATCATCCACTAGCTGCCAGCAAGCTGTTACACACTCAGCTGTCTCACTCTCTGCACACGCCCTTGTCACAGAAGTAGACACTAGTTTTCAAACACTCTACTCACACATTAGCTCAACAAGTGTGTACACAAACTCCCCTTATCCTAGGCAACCCTGCCAGGACCAAACAAGTTCTCTAAGCCCACCAAATACATTATAGAAAATGTAAAACAACAAACACAAGTTCCTTCTTCAATTGAAATAAGGTTGACAACACAAAATGCCAAGTTACCACTTCATAACATTAATTTTCAACACTTAGATCTTGAGGGGTAAAATAGGAATTTCCTCATGAGATTCGTTCAATAGTATCATACTCAGTCTTCATTCGCTGTGGTAGTCATGTTAATGACAATTAATCACTGAAGTGCAGCATGAGTTAAGCATATAGAACCAATACCACCATTGTTTCAGCAAAAACACAGTCTATGACAAAGGGTTGAGAACTGAAATTTGCAGCAGACCAGTTTTCTTTCACAAAGCCAACTTAACATTCAAGATTCATCAAAATACACTTGCTAGAGGATTAAAATCTTATCATACAGCAAGGCATAATCAATCAGTACTTGAATCCATGAAAATCTCAGAAAATTAAGTAAAACAGATGAGCTCAATGACCATTTTTGATTTCTGCATGATTCCAACACTAATTCAGTACTGAGCAAGTGTAAAAAGGTGATTGATACCTATGTCAACTCTCTGAAAAGACCACAACACCTCAGAACTAAAATCCAATACTCAGTCCAGCCCATGCAGTAGTGAAAAACAGCAGCAGCAACATCTTCTCTACTATAACTATCACATAGCTCGAATCAGTGAGTTTTTCTAGCTTAAATCATCTTCAAAAACTTCAGAAAAACTAGTTCTATCAAGGCTCTCGAGTTAGTTCATGCTGCAGCTCAATGTCACTCCTTACACATTAGGCTTGAACCCTAAAAAGGCTATAACAGCATATATATATGAACAAACAAAGTGCACAGATCTTCATACACCCACAGAATACACCTGTCACCTCAAGCCAATCATTGGAAAAGCATAATGCAGATATTTTCAAGAGCAAGCACCAATAGCAGAAGGCCACCTCAGCAAATTTGTCTCTATGCAAACTGAAATTGACACATACATAACACATTGCAGCATACTCCATTCAGCTCTAGACTTAGCCACCAAGAAATGCAATATTCTTGCATATTCACTCAATTTAGGACCACTAAAACGTGTCACACTACTGAGCATAGTAGGAAATGGCCAGAATACCCTTGCAACAAATTTTTAACTTCTTGGCTAAGAAAAATCCTGAAACTGTATTAGTGACAATGCTGATTCACTCAGGTCAATCCAGTGCAATGCAGCATCCAAAACATACGTGTACGTGTTGAATACAACTGAGAAATGATAATGCTACCCCTAGAACCATTTGTGACAGATTACATGAACTGAATCCACACAATTCTCAACAAATTAAGCAAGAACAGATAGATAAGCTGTGATGAAACCATTAAAACAGCAATGAGGGATAAGACACTGAATAGATCTTTGAGGCTTATTTTGAGCAACTTTGACAATGAAGAAACCCTTTGAAGCCACTGCCACTCAGCTTTTTGACATTAAAGAGGCAAACAATGCTAAGGAACTTAGGACTAACAGATTTGATTCTAGTTATGCATGCATTCATGATGTTTAATTTCCATGACATTTGTATTTTTACTTTTGTAGAAAATACATTCTAGTTGCTTACTTTTTCATAAAGGGCATGGATGCATTGATAAGCGCCGAATATTGCATATTCAAGCGCCCTAAATTACATTAACAAAGTCCAGTTATTAATTATTTTATGTAGATTAACTCCATTTGCATGTTTTTATGCATTTTCAGGTTCATTGGCCAAAATGGAACAAGAATAAGGCCTTGTGGAATTTTGAGCAACAAAAGGTGCCAATGCTGAATTCTGGCAGCAGTAGAGCCTGGACTTTGCTTGCCATTTTGACCTTCCAAACTCGAGAACTGGACTTCCCTCATAACATGAAAGATTTAGAGCTCTGAATCAGCTTTCCAAATCTTCAAGTGGTTCATCATTCGGAGTTCGGAGCAGAGAGTTATGATCTTCACAACAGAGGTGCACAGAACTGCCTAGCAGCACTGATGTACTGCCTTTCTCCCCATTTTCGACCAACCAGACTTGAGAATTGGGTCTTCATCAAAACATGAAGTTTTTAAAGCACTGAATCAGCTCTCCAAATCTTCAAACAGATCGTCATTCGGAGTTCGGGGCACAAAGTTATAGCAGTTTTCCCAAAATAGGTCAGCGCTGAGCAAGAGGAGCATGTTGCACATTGCACTAAGTTAGAGTGCTCGAGATCACCAAGCGTGCGCTCGAAAATCAGGCAGAATGCCCTTCGGAAATGGCTCATTTCAGCCCACTTGCACATTGGTTTCCTCAATGCCATCTTCCTTCTTTATGAAGTGGTTGGAGGTGTTCCTTGGAGGAGAGAGGGTATTGTTGGAGCATAAAAGGCTACCCAAAGGCCACATATATCATTAAGCTTTATCTTTAGCAAGAGAAAGGAGAGAGAAGAGAGCAAGGAGAAGGGTGTTCTTGAGTGCTACAGTAGGAGCTCGAAAATGGAGATGAGGATGATGTTTCTTCCTTCTTCTAGCTCACCAATGGGTAACTAAACCTCATCTAGGGAGGTGATGAAACCCCTCCCTTGTAAGCATGTGTTAGTATAGTTTATTTTTGGGGATTACAATGTATTTTTGATAGTCTTTCCATGGTCAAGAGCCTCATTTTTGTTGTAATGAATGTTGAATGTTTTAAATGATTATTGTGAGTTATTCATCTTGTCTTGGATGGTTGCTTTTCTTAATCATATTGCTTGCACTTCCATGGTGACAATGGAAGTTAGATCATGGAATGGTTTTAATGGCATGGAGTTGGAGAACCTAGATAGTTCATGGCTTAGGGTTTCCCTTTGATGGGCTATACTTGATTCTTAGCTTTATGTGCATTCACCATTTAAATTAGGGCTTGATAATCGTTGGCTTAGTAAGCATGTTCTAAGCTTCATTTTAGTTTAGGTAGTTGATCATGTGAACCTTTGATGGTTTATTCTTGCCTTTCTAATTAAATGAACTTCTTGAGGATATTATAGCAACCTAGTATTGTTATGTATCATGACTATCATATATATTGTTTTCCCCTTAAATTAATCTTAACCTAGCATGTGTATAGGGATGGAGGTGGATTCATTTCCCTAGCCTTCGTTACTTGTACTTCACTCCCTTGAATTCTTGCAATTTATTGTTTTATGCACTTTTAATTTCCTAGCTTAAGTGACATCCAACAAAACCTCTATACACCCTTCATCATTCTAAGAATGATTCTAGACATTTAGGTTGTATTAGACTAGCGCAGTCCCTGTGGTTCGACTTACCCGACCAATAGCCCTATTTTACAATGATTCGTGCTATTGCGAAGGTTGATGTTAATTGACCAACCGATCAATTTTTGGCGCCGTTGCCGGGGACTGCAAACGGTTTAGCAACCGAAGTTTCTAGGGTTAAATTTAGTTTGATTGTGAATATTGTGTCTTGTGAATACTCCTTGTGTGTTTTGACCACCTTTGTGTTTTAAGTGTTGTAAGATTCTAGGGACTCGAAGCTCGCCGTGGGAATGCTAGCAAATTGTAAGTCTAGAGGACCCCAGGTAAGTCTCGTGACTTCTAGTTTCGAGTTGTGAATATTGTGCATATGTTAAATTTAGTTTTAGTTTAGTTGTGAAGCCCTTGTTGAGGCTCTTATCCTGTTTAAATTTTGTGTTCAAGCATCGGTCCTTGTCGTGGCCATTTACATTTTCCGTCTTGATAATTGAGGAGAAAGGGAACATCGTATGTGGAGTTGTGGTTGATGAATTGCTTTGTTGAGTATATGCTTTGTTGTTGATGTTCGGTCGTAGGTCACTTTCCTTACCCACAATCGATTCGCCCATTGATATCAATTCTCTTGAAAGAACTCTTAGACGGAACCTTAGGGAACCCACTCTTACAAGGGACCTTGAAACTGAATTCAATATAATGGGGGATAACGTAGGAAATCCGGGGAATGAAAGGGCTGAAATTCCTAATATCGAGCCAATGACTCTTAGAGATCATTTCATCCCTACCACCTATGCTTCTCCATCTTGCATAGTGATGCCAAACATCGATGCAGCTCAATATGAGATCAAGTCTAGTACCATTCAAATGCTTCTATCATTTCATGGCTTTGATAATGAAGATCCATATAAGCATCTTGATGAGTTCCTCGAAATCTGTTCGACCATCCGGTTGAGAGGTTTTCCGGACAATGCACTTCATCTCCATCTTTTCCCATTCTCCCTAAAGGATAGGGCAAAATATTGGTTGAACTCCCTCGCTCCCAACTCTATTACTTCTTGGGCTCAATTGCAACAAGAATTTCTTAAGAAGTATTATCCGGTGAGTAAAACCAACCAAATGAGGCGTTCTATTCTAAGCTTTTCTCAAGTTGATGGAGAACAACTCCACGAGACTTGGGAAAGGTTACAAGATCTTCTTCGGAAGTGTCCTCATCATTTGATCCCAAAATGGCAATTAGTGCAAGCTTTCTATGCTGGCTTGACCGAAACCCATAGATTCATGGTTGATTCTTCTTGTGGTGGGATGTTCATGTCCAAGAATGCGGATGAGGCTTGGACCTTACTTGAGAATTTGAGTGAAAATTCACTTC